GACCCCAGTTATGACTGTCTTTTGCTGACCACTAGTGTGGGTGGTCTTGGACTGAACCTCACTGGTGCCGACACCGTCATCTTTGTCGAACATGACTGGAACCCACAGAAAGACATCCAGGCCATGGATCGCGCACACCGAATTGGCCAGAAGAAGGTTGTCAACGTCTATCGCCTGATTACGCGCGGGACCTTGGAGGAAAAGATCCTGAGCCTTCAACGGTTCAAGATTGACGTTGCATCCACTGTTGTCAATCAACAGAATGCAGGCTTAGGGAGCATGGAAACTGATCAGATTCTGGACCTCTTCAATCTTGGCGAAACAGCGGATAACGCAGGTGATTCGGGAGGCACCAAAGATGAAGACATGGTCGATCTTGAGACAGGTGAAGTTAGGAAGAAAGGGGAAAAAGGGTGGCTCGACGACGTTGGCGAACTCTGGGACGAGAGACAGTACGAAGAGGAATTCAACCTCGATTCCTTCGTGCAGAACTTGCAAAAATAGAGTGCGCCTGGTTGAATCTGGTAGCATGTTGATTTTTGGGGTGGTATGGTTTATTTTACAGGGTTGCCCTGTGCCCAAAAGTATATCTGGCGGCATTGGATCAGTGGTCGATATCAATAGCCACCATACCACCCAACTCGGAGCGGCAGAGTCTTACCCTGCACCAGGCAGGAACTTGAAAATTTTCACTCTCGTGGCGTGGCTGAAACCCACCCTGTATGTCTGTCCGAACATTGATTAAACCTACCTCCGTATCTTGCATCTGGGAAAACTGGGCGATGCGTGTGGCCAGTTTTAGACAATCAGGGGCCTCGTCCGCGTTCAATATCGGAACTCCAAATACAAGAAGACTTTGCAGCCTGGGTAATTTCTGCAGCCTGATCCTGATCACGGGCATTGTATGCCGGGTTCACCGACCATGATGGTACGATCTTGATACCAGAATAGGAGGCAGGGTTTGGATGGGGAACTACTCCAATTATCCCAAGATGATTTGCGGTTATCGAGTCGGGGAGCCTGACCCGATCAGGCGGTCAGGCGGGTGTCGGTGTGGTTTAAACTGGTGTTAGGCGGCTGACAACGTGCGTGAGTACTTGCAAAGGGACCTCGAGCAGTTGGTAGAAAGAGATTGTTGGATTCATACTCGTACTGTCGAGCTGTGCCCGTCTGGAAATGTCGGTCAGACACAGGTCAGCACGAGTCCACAGCTGAGATAGCAGGCTCCTGAGGGAAGCAGTGAAATTGATCAGAGCGACAGCGGTCACGGTGAATGATATTGGGACATGGTCCAAGTTAGGCATGTGGCAGTCGCTGATGATAGGGACGCTATCCACTGTCAGCGGTGGCTCCACTTTTACCCCACGGCGTCCAATGTCGGCTCGACAACGTTCCGCTAACCCAAAGTGTCCAATGACTATACATATACATGGCGCTAGCCTTTCCCTTTACGGCTAAGAGAAGGCAGGACAAAATGCTTATCAACAGCCTCTCACGAAAATAGAATATTCCAAGGCCAATCCATTTCATCGCCTTCCTCGTGGTTCCTTCGCCTCCGCCTTGCGTGCTCGCCTGCTCTCCAGCCTCCCTCCCAACCTGCATTAGTCACGCTCTCCCTGATCTGGCACTTGGCTTATCCTACAAACAGGGTGAGGGGTTTGGTACAGTACCCCATGCCTGGACAAAGGCCGCGGTCCCCTCCCATGGGCCATGGCAATCACACAGGAAGCGTGAGCACTAAACCCTTCTGTAGAATGAGGGCTTGTTTAGTTTGCGCGCGGCGAGGGATCATGGGTAAAGCCTATCCGAGAATAATGCGCAGCCTGTGGCTGCCCTTTTCCCCCTCCCATGTCCATCTCCGCCATTGTCGGACCTGCTGATAATGGATATTGTCTTTTTGCTTCCCGAATCCCTGTACACCACCTAGATACCTACTTTGGAATACTCGTTCGTCTGATATCCACAGTAAGCAGAGCTTAGATGCGATGGAATAGCCACAGGGACGACTTGCCGAAGGCTGCTTGCTCGCCAGGAACGCAAGGGGCGTGGGTGGTCGAAGCCAGATTCCGCATCGCGACAAACACACACACACACACGGTAACGAAGACACATAAAAGACCATCAACCCCCTCACCTTCGACTGGTTTTTTTTTTTCTCCCATTCACAACAAAAAACAATCAAACAAACCCAATCAAGTCTTTTCCCTTTTTTCTTTTTATTTCCTACTTCTTCTTTCCTTGCTGTTGAAGACACATTCTTTAGCATACAAAGCTATCAATACCAACTACATTCTAATCCAAATCACTTTTTGAAACAAAAACCCCCCGATCCAATCAAATATCCAAGTCAAGCCAAACCAAAAAAAAATGCATTCTAAGTCGCTTCTCGTTGCTGCTTTTGCGGCCGCCGCCACCGCTACTCCCATGGGAGCCAGCTCTGCTGCTTACTCCGGCAGTGGAGACTACTCGATGACCACCAGCTACTACAGCGCTGCGCCAACCAGCAGCTACTCCAGCGCGTCTAGCTACTCCAGCGCCGACAACAAGTACTCGGCCGGTGGCAACTGGGGCGAGGGCTCGTACAGCACCAGCTACGGCAACCCGACCGCCAGCCCCAACCCAGTCCCGACCGCGGGCACCATCGCCAAGCTCCTCACTGAGGACTCCCGCGTGGCTCGCTTCAAGGAGATCCAGTCCGAGATCCAGGACGGCAACATTGCGCTCAAGTTCGACTTCAACCCGGCCGCCAACCCCGGCGTCACACCCGGCAAGGGTGGCCAGGTCGACTTGGCCAACCGGGCCAACTTCCCCGTCCTGACGGGCCTGGGCATCTCGGCCGCGGGCATCTTCTTCAACCCCTGCGGTCTCAACACCCCCCACATCCACCCTGACGCCACCGAGTTCTTCACCGTGGCCACCGACAGCAACTTCACCACGGGCTTCGTGCTCGAGAACGGCCTGGCGACCGAGTTCACCACGTCGCTGACCCAGTTCCAGGGCACCGTCTTCCCCATGGGCTCGATCCACTGGCAACAGAACAACGACTGCTACCCGGCCGTGGCCATCGCCGGCCTCAACTCCGAGGACCCCGGTGCCAGCTCCATCGCCCAGAACTACATCATCAACACCAACCCGGACATTGTCGACGCCTCGCTCGGCTTCCCCAAGCAGATCGACGCCAACAACTTTGCCCAGTTCAAGGCCAACATCCCTCCCCCCTTGGCCCTCGGTGTCGAGGAGTGCCTGATCCGCTGCCACATCAAGTACTAAGCGGATCGTACTTTCTTTTTCTCCTCACCCCTTTTTTCCCCCAAACGGAACGACAAGTGGGCGGAACCCGAAAAAGAGACAAAGGGATGATGACGATGATGATCATGTTGTGATGGCATAGCATGGCATGGCATAGGGAAAAGAAAAGATACGGGGGTGTTCTCCCTTTAGGTATCTAATCAGCGGGTAGTGTTGGTGGGTTGTCAATCCTTTTTTTGAAGCATAGCGGCCGGCGGGTTTTTACAGAGCAATAGTGGCAATAGCATCCTCTGGGCATTAGATAGTTAGCATTTTTTTTTGATATATTTGAAAAACATCGGGTTATTCTCCAGAAAAAAAAAAGGAACAATGGTTTCACTGTTCGCTCATAATTGTGTTTTGGACCTGCGGGCGACATATGGCTAGACTAACTAGCTCTTTAAGTGTCCACCTTCATAACTCGCATGGCTGAGGAAAATTGACAAGTTGGAGTGGACTGGTGTTGGAGTATATACTTACTGCCAGTTAACTCTGCCTCATGCGTCTTGTATTCGGGTTCTTTTGACTTGTGTAATTCCTCGAAGAGTATACTACGCAACAACAACACCCCCGGCCTCCTTTCCTCTCCCTTTCCCCCTCCCTCTCCATCTCCCCCTCACACACCCATATAGTCTCACTCTCTGCGTATATGCGTGCGTAGGTACCGAGTACGGACCGGCAGGCGAGATTTGGGGTTACACGACTTCAGCCCTGCCCAGCTCAGGCCATCCCAGCTCAGGCCATCCCGGCCTATCCAAAAGTGCGCTCGTGCTCGTGCTCGCACGGCTACGAATGCGAGTGAATCAGAATCCGGAAGTCACAAAGCCTCGATATATGGCAGGTGTATGTATGTATAGCGTATTTGCGAGCGACGGACGGACGTACGCACGTAATACGTACGTACAGAGTTCCGGAAACCCCTCGTTTTCGTATTCCTCGCACCTCATCACCACCAACCAGCCCTCAGCTTTTCTTCCAAATAATCAATTCGGTTCCAAATCAAATTGGTGCGGATCAACTCTTTCACGGAAAAGAGGGGGGGGGGGGGGGACTTGGCCTGGTCTGGCGTAGCCTAGCCCAGCACGCCTGGGGATCCGGGCTTGGGCTTAGTTGGGTCTTGGGTCTGGGCTTTGCTGGCTTGGTTCCTGGGCTTTTGGGCCCTTTCGGGTCTCGTATTAACTCCATCTGAGAAATACACATGCCCAATGCGGCAACTGCGCTTGAACTCGATCGGGAACCTGTAGAGGAAAACCCCTCGCGCTAGCATATTACACGGGCACGACGGGGACCGACGAGTGACTTGGTTCAGCGATGTAGAGAGGTACAGAGCTCTTCAACGCCCCTACGATGTGCGATGCGGCGGACGGAGCTGCTCGCAATGATTCGGTGGACGACGAATATAAATACGCAGGAGTGTGTTCTGTTCATCCTGAGTTGTTGAAGAAGCACCCTCAAAGTATTCATCAGATCTCGTCTCCCCATCCCCCACCAAGCAACATCCCCTTTGAACCAGTCCCATCGTAACACAACAACAGTCGTAGTCGATTCGACATGTCTGGTAAGATTCCAAGACTCTTGTTCGATTTCCATCTCAGCTGACCTGACCGGCCGACATAGCCGCTGCAAATCTCGTGCCTCAAATGCTCCCCGTAACAGCCACCTTTGCTCCGGGTACGTATGATGACCCGTCTTTATCCATTCTTTGAGCCGCAATGCTGACTGGGTGGGAAACATTAGCATTCGCCGCCTACTACGCCCTCCTTAACCTGCGTGTCAGCTTGGTGCGGGTGTCGTGCAACACCATGATAGGCACCGATGCCGCCGCCAACACCACCATCGCCACCACCACCGCCACAACCAACAAGAGTCAATCCTCGAGTACAACAACTTCGACGCCATCGACCAGCCCCGACCCCAGCCACAGCCTCCTCATCAGCTCCCGCTGCCACGCCAACTTCGTCGAGAACGTCCCCATTGCGCTCCTCGTAGCGACCTTTGTCGAGTTGAACGGTGGTAACAAATGGGCCCTGACGGGCTCGTTGGCTGCGCTGCTGTTCTTCAGGATCGCCCATGTCGAGTTCGGGTTGAGGGCCAAGGACTCGATGGGCTGGGGCAGACCGGTCGGATACTTTGGCACGCTGGGCTTTGTTGTGGGCATGAGTTCTTATGCGGCTTGGTTGGCGAGCGGGTTCTGGAGGGCACAAGCCTAGAGAGTCTTTTCCATCGATCGTCTTTGGTTGGGAGGGACCGCCTTGCTCGCTTGGTTGTTGTTGACGGTCGTTTCGCCTAGTTTAGGTAGGAGAATGGAAAGAGCAACTTCCTTTCCCCCTGCGTTTCCGCACTTCGACAGATGGAAAAAGACATTTCACTTCACTTAACTTCACCCTCGTCTCTCCTTCCCTTCGGTTCATCCACTCGTTAGTTACTCTTCTCACTCCAACCGCATGTCTTTCACTCCATGGCATACCCGCAGAACACGTTCGCTCCTTCGAGGTCCCTATCGAATCCCGACATATCGCTATCGTCCTTTCGATCCATCTCCGGCGCCCTCGCGAGCGCGTCACCCCCACCACTTCCCGCGCCGCCCAAGCCCCCCGCGCCGCGCAAAGACCTTGAGCCCACATCGTCCGAGTTCCACCCCTTCCTCTGTACCGTCTGCTGGACCGAGCAAAAATCATTGCCTCACACTTTTGGTCTGGACGGCCGCATCGTGTGCGCCGACTGTTGGCGATGGATATACCACATGAGCATCTGCTGGCGCTGCGGAGAGGTAGTTTTCAGAGAGACTGACGCTGTCAATTTTGGATGGTGCTAGTGGCATTGGAGTTGCTTTTCTTGCCTCATTTGCGCAGTATGGTTGGCTGAAAGCTGGGAGCACACGCTCACCACCATAGCCAGAACCTGCTGACGGTCAGCCAGTCTCCTCTGCTTCCCCCACCCTATCTTGATTGCAATTGCGAGCCGCACAAACATGGCATGATTGTCGAGGAGCCGCCAGTCTGCTCCCGTTGTGTCGACTTGCCAGAGTCCCTTGCAAAGCTGGAGCAGCATGTTAGAGCGCCGAGAAATCGTCCAGGCAAAGTCATACATCCAAAGGGCTTGTTGGACGGAGCTTCCTCAAGACTATCGTTGACGGACCCGTTGAATCCGGATGCCAACAGACTCGGGGCCGCAAACCAAAAACATACAATGCATCCTCCATGGTTGATTCTTCAGTCATCAAAACGACATGCAGAATTCATGTCTCCATATCAGTCAGGCCCACAGCAGCACCGGACTCCACGGGAGAAGCAGTCCACAGCATCTTCGACACCATTTGCCACACCTCCACAATCTCCCAAGGCTGCTGAACTGTCATCTTGTCCAAACATTCCGCACCAACTTCCGTTGGACTTGGCGGAACAGCCGTCCACGCCGCCGGTGGGGACAGTGACTGCCTCATGGGTTCGTCCGGGTACCTATTTGTCTGTAGACTCCTCGAAGAGTCAGGGGCTCGAATTCTCAGCCTCAACAGGGTCAAGCACATCGCCTTCCCAGCATTTAATCACGTCACCATCAGATGAGCCCCGTTGGTTGCAAACTGGCTCCTTGAGTCGTATCCGACGCAGCTTCTCAACCACGAAAGCGCTAAATCCCTTCCGAAGGGCTTCGACCACCAAGTCATTTCTCCCTCCTGTTGGATCATGTGGTCCAACAAAAATGCATACGCCACTGCCGTCACAAGATATTGCCCCTGCAAGATCTCCCATCTTCAAAGAGCTTTCGGCTTTCTTTACATCACGTTCAAAGACCGGGAAAGTCATCCTCCAACGCCGCGTCAGCCCTGATAAGACGATCCTGGATCGTGCGTGCGAGAGATGTGGTATGGACTTGTCTGACTGGTGGGTGAGGCGCGAGGAGTCAGGGGCACAGAGTCGAGATAATGAGGGTCATCGTGACCACACTGGCCGTTTCTGTGAGGATTGCATAGCTACTGGGCTAATGTCCAGAGCAATGCCTGGGGCATGGGATTGATAGATTTCGTTGTTGCTCGCAATTTGAGGAATCCCTTCTCGCAGTCTTGCATAGAAGGCCTTGGGTAGAGAATAAGCGAACAATCACCGTGTGCAAGAACACATCTTCTAACCGCCCTGACTGACAGTGTCGCCAGGTAGATGGCCGCGCAAATCTGGTGTCACTAGTAAAACCAATAACTAGGTCTCTGACTTGTCTGGCGAGTAAGTGCATGGACGTTGCCGGGACAAGGCACAATCCTGCACTCCGCTAGTCTGGGAGAAACTGAGTTGCTATTCCAATGCCTGTTCTCAATCAAGACGTAAAGTGTATACGTCGCGCGGGGTGGCCAGCAGAATAGCGAGAGTAGACGATGTTCATTCCAGCTTCCACTGGCCAAGACGTGATCCTCGTGGGTACTTTCATGAAACTCTCAAGCCGAAAGGTCTGAAATATTCTGGTTGGAAAGCAAATGTCATTATGTGTGGGATAGAGGACTCAGACTGTGGCGATGCAGTCGTCGATCATCTGTAGATCTCGTCAGCGAAGGCAAACGGACGGTTTACACGAAAATCATTTCGCTCGAGCATCCAGCCACCAGAGTCGGGCAGGTATGTCTGCGGCGTGCTGAAGCGTTTGATTTCGCTTCGTACCCTCCGCTGGCCAATCCAGGTTTGACAGTGGTTGTAATTTCGGTTCATGTGGCCGGTCGTCAGGACAGTTTGATCTCCTTGTCGCGTGACTTCCCAATGCATCGTGTCAACGTCACTGAAGGATGGAGCTGCAGCGATGGACAGTATTTGTAAGGAGGGGCACTCTCGGCGCAGTTGCTCGAAGATGCGGACAGCCTGATCATCCGTGACCGGTACAACATGTGGCACCCGGTGGTCCGCAGGCTGAGAGGTCATGGGTGCGAATGGAGGGAATAGGCGGAGGAATCGCAAATGCCTAAACTTAGTGAGAGCATTCAGAAACATATATTGTTCGACGTCCACATCCACGCCAGGGATGGCGGTGGGATGCCACAAATTCTCGATGTTCCCTATATCCAACTCCAGCCACTCAAGATTTGGTGCGAGATTCGCCGCCGTGATGATGTCAGTGTGGCTGCGCTGGCTCTCTTTGCCGTAGACCGAAAACCTGGGATTCTCGCAATGCAGCCGGAGCCGGCGCAGATTCGGGCCCACGAGATCCGTGATAGGGATGTGGTTACATATTCCATTGATTTCCAGCTCTTGCAGTTCTGGCATATTTGTGAAATCGATCGCGAAAGGGTGCTCTGCAAGTCTTCCTAGGGAGTTGTCCTCCCCATCTGATACGTAGCTACATGCTTCGTGATAGTGCCTCTTACGAAATGCATCCAGGCGCAAGGCCTGAAGATGGCTGAGCCGAGGAGCACACGAATAGATGAAGTCATTCATGGACGGGTAAAAGGTCCATTCGATGGCAAGTCGCCGAAGATTCGCCCACGGTATCATTGATGGGTCCAAACTGTGTATCGAGGGCCGCGGTGTGAAACGTAGGGGTAGCGAGACCATCAGCCGCAATTCGGTCCACGAAGAACCTTCTTTCAAATGTGGCCTCTCCGAGCGAGTAGCATTAGGCCGACGAGTTAGCCAGTGATGGTGTACCTCTACTGCCGTGGCTTTCGCAATTGCGTCGTACATGGATTGATCAGGTGTAGAATGGTCATAAGGAGCTGAACGAAACGCCCCTATTGCAACCTGGTGGCGTGCAGCAAGAGGAAGCAGAGCAGTGACTGCTTGAATCAAGTCTGCCCATGGCCAACACGTGCGGAGGTAGTCCATGATAATTTCATACTGGCGGTCATTCGGCAGCATTTGAAGCACTTGGTATGCTGCAATTGCGGAGCATTCCAACCTGGGCAACATTAGTTACATAGGTTCGAATCAAAGCGACAAAGCCGCCGCATTCATGTTTGCTCGTTTTTGGACAAATCAAATTCTCTCCAAAGTACATACGTGATGCGACGGAGCCGAGGCATGAGAGGCAGGCTCTCACGGATCGTCTCGAGATCCATGTAATGATGATCGCAACTGCCAACAACAACGGGGTCTTCGAAAGGGCCAAATGGAGGTATTCCTAGCGGCCGTTTTACGTGTAGTGTGCGAACATTGCCAAGGAGATGGCGATTGTTGAGTAGGTAGCGCAGAAGCCCATGTTCCGGTTCATCCAAGTGCTCACGGACAATATGGGACACCGTTCTGAAAAAGAAGGGCAACGCTGACCGTCGGAATTGGTGTGAAACGAGAGAAAAAGGCAAAAGCGAGCTCAATCGCCGAAAATCACTCTCGTAGAGCTGCTCAGCAATCGCATCTAAAACCTCTGACGGGAGTTGGACCTTTGCTTTGGTCGCGTGCCGTGAGTCTGGGCTCGAAAAGGGGGGCCTCATGGACTTGAGTGCTAGCATGTTTGGTGACGGCAGGGTTTTGGGAGACTCAGATATCTGATGGCCAAGATCCAACTTGAGGAAGGATCTTGGTCAAAGAGTGAATAGAATCTTTAGAGAGGGTTTGGACGGAAGTTGGAAGGTTGAAAGGGTCATGCAAGGGAGGAGGGGGAATGTGTCGGATTATCCTTTCTCCGTACCGCGGGGTTTGCACTGTTTGTTGCCGCAGAGGCAGTCAGTGAGATAAACAACGATTCAGCCGCATGGACCGTCCACAGCGACTTGGGTTTTCTCAGCGAGTCTTGCTAGATCAATGGAGATCCAAAGCGGGACATGGTCGCTATGCCCACGTTCTGATGCAGAATCCAGAATATCAGTGTTGGTGACAGCATCCAGCTTGTCCACCAAGGCGTGGCTGGTGATGATCAAGTCTACTCGATCACAGCTCGCACCCCACGCGCTTCCACGAGGGTGATACGTAAACTTCTTGGTGTTACCATGAAAATGCCTGAATACATCGGTTCCACGCATGCCATTGGGTTCGTCGAAAAACTTGGAATTGAAGTCAGCCCGATTCTTGACATGCTGCGGCGGGGACGTTCGTAGATTAGGGTGGCCGTCAATTCGGGACCTAGCAATGTTCATGTCTCCGATCAAAATGACATGGCGGTTAGCTGCTTCGTACTGCAGAACAACTTCCAACATGTGCCGATGAAAACGCAACTTGTGGTCATGTCGGGTACCGGAGATCTGACCAGTTGTAGGATCTCGGTAGGGATTAGATGTCCCGTTGACCCAGTAGCCGTTGATGATGACTAGACCGACCTCGTGTTCGTGTATCAAAACCCGACCTTCAAGGTCCCAGTCTGGCCGCCGGGTGACACGAACGCTCGAGGCGAAGTCGTCTCTCAGAAAAGAGGCAACACCATGAACTCTGCCTCCAAACCCAGTAGCATTGTACTTATCTCTCGGAAGAGAAAAATGAGCCGTGTACGTGGGTTCTCCGCCCGCGTGACCGTGATTGGCAGCTTGTTGCAGCTGTCTTTGGGTCGCGTCGTCTCTGGAGCTGACCTTGACTTCTTGCAAACAAAGCACTTGAGGCCACTGGTGGCGTTTCAAGAACGATCGGAGCGGCGACAGAGACGAACCGCCGAAAGACAAGGTTTTCTGCAGTAATGGACCGACGCCATTGACATTCCAACTGAAAATTCGAACGTGGTCTGGGTGTGCAGGCCATGTGCAGGCCACGTGTGTGTCTTCCTCAGTTACGTGTGAAACTTTCCTTCTCAACGCTGGCGGACTGATGGATCTGCTGGCGCTACAGAGGGATCTCTTCGCAGTGGCCGACATGGTCATTGGAGTGGTTTTCTTGATGGCTTCCCATCCCGCGCCGAATGGTAAGATCGTCCTGAATCTTCCGTGCAATACTCGGTGCCGCCGACGCAGGTGTGAAACTGACAGGCCATGTTTGCTGGTACAAAGCGACGGACGTCATGAAGGAGGTGTTACGACTGGCGCAAACCCACAGTTAGTATTATCTCGTTTCCAATAGGGCCAAATAGGCGTCTCGGCACCCCTTCTGTTCTCTGGGTAGCAAACTTGGGTGCCCTCACCATGTGCGGACCGAACCGTCAGGGATGGATTCACCACTGTGACTAGGAGATTTGAGTGGTGAGTGAGCTGCTTCGGGGTTCAGGCCCTCCACTCACTGACCCTTTGGGGAGGCCACAGAGGCCGACCCCGTCAACTCCCCAATGGCGCTTGACAGTTGATCTGCAAGGTTAACATCTCGTTTAGGCAGGAGAGAGACGGCAGCCTTCTTACGGCAAAGCTCCGAGTCGCCAGCTTGGGGTTCAGGATGGGTCTTTAGGTGGTCGGTTCGTGGTGGGGTGGGTTGGCGGGCGAGTGATGGACATGGTCGAAGGGGAAAAAAGGAGGCGCGGTCTCGAGGCTCCAAGGATCCCCAAACGGTCAAGGTCAAGCATTTCTCAGTGAGTGTATTCCAGCTCAACTCTGCCTCAGTCGTATTGTCGCTGAGAAGCTTCTCACTGTCGTCCTGCTCTCCTTGATTACGCGAGAACGCTCATTTGTGATATCTGACGTGAGAAGTCAAGAGTGCCCTGAGCTCAAAAGGGCAGACGCGCCACGCGTGCACCACGCACGTATATCGGCTGCCATTGAAAGTCTAACCAGGCTGGCTCTATCGGAGTTGAGCACCTGTGGCAGGTTTCCTATCAGTTGAACAGTCTCTCCTACCTATACTGGTGTTTCCCTAGGTCAGTTACATGCCTCTTCGGGATCCAGTAGTGTTCTAATCTGTCCAGACTTTCTCATATCTTGAGCCCATCGGCCACTGGTGCTGCCTCCAAATCACTCTGTTTACCTACCACCACCTTATCAGCCATGGCCCCTCAACCAGAGCTCTATCCTACCCTCCACCGAATACGTGACCTTGAAAATGCAGGCATCGAGGACCTCCAACAGATTGTTCAATCGTTCCCCGTCATTGACAACCATGCCCACAACATGCTCACCGAAGAACATGTCTATGGCAGCGCGGAATACCCTTTTGAGAGCATCACTTCAGAAGCACAGGGGCATGCTCTGACGGATCATGTCCACACTAGCCTTGCCCACATGCGCGCAGTCAAACACTTGGCCGAGTTCTATCAGTGCCCGGAAACACTGCAGGACGTCAAGGCTGCCCGATATGAGTGGGTGCGCAGGGACTATCCTGGCCTGATCAAGAAATGCTTTGAAGGAACACACGCGATCATGATGGATGACGGGCTGTCCCCTGAGATCATCCATCCTTTCAAGTGGCATAGACAATTTGTGCCCACGGTATCAAGGATTGTGAGGATTGAGGCCGTGGCAGCTGAGCTGCTTGAACACCTCGCTCACGCAGCGGGCTTCATGAGGGTCGGCCTCGATGCCGACTGGGACATTAGCCAGACTGAGAGCTTCTTGGTCCGCTTCAACACCGTCTTCAGAAACCAAATCCGCACTCTGGCCAACGACCCAGATGTCCGGGGCTTCAAGTCAGTCATTTGCTATCGTTCGGGGCTTGACATTGGCCTCGAGAGCAGGAAGAACTTCCGCCCCCATCAGTCTCTGACCGAGTCGGCTCTTCTACAGTCTTTTCATGACTTCCTCCAAAAGGCCGTTCGCGACCACAAGTATAGGATTCAGCAAAAGGAGGTCAATGATTACTTGGTTGTTGCTGTCTGCGACGTACTGGAAAAGCTTGTAGACACAGACGGTGAGAACTTGCCCTTTCAGTTTCACACCGGTCTCGGTGACACGGATATCAATCTGGTCAAGGCAAACCCAGCCTATATGCAGCCCTTGATCGAGGCTTTTCCCCAGGTCGACTTTGTCATCCTCCATTCTTCGTATCCGTATACGAGGGAAGCAGGCTACCTAGCAGCAAATTATTCCAACGCTTGGCTCGATATCGGAGAAGCGTTTCCTATGCTCTCTCGTGAAGGCGAAGAGTCTGTGCTACGACAAGCCCTCGAGCTGACTCCAAGCTCCAAAATCCTCTGGAGCACAGATGGACACTTCTATCCCGAAACATATTGGCTCGCCAACAGGCACTTCAGAGAAGCGCTTGAGAGACTGCTTACTTCATATATTGCAGCGGGCGACGTTACCGTTGCCCAGGCCATCGATATCGCTGTCGATATCATGTTCTGGAACTCAAATTTACTCTACAAGCTTGACGAAGAGCGCAAATACCCCGAGTTGCTCCGAGCTTGTGGCCGAGAGGCTGTAGACAGCATGCGCACTCTTGTGAATGGTGGTTCGAAAGCTCCCTCCTTCAAGTCATACGCGAGTACGGCCGTCGCAACTTCTGCCGGTGGCGCCTCATCTTCCGCCGCCGCCGCCGCATCACGAGCTGGAGCAGCTTTGACCGCAGCAGCATCGACACACCTTTCGATCCCCCTCCGCGCTGGGAGTGCGAGTGCGCCATCCGGCCAGAATTCCACGGCTGTCTTTGCACAGAATGTGACAATTTTTGACGCTTTTATGCAAACAAATCCGGGCATCAAGTATATGTGGGTTCAGTATCTGGACTACACTGGCACACTTCGTAATCGCATGATGACTGTGCAGCAATTCAAAAAGCAACTCTCCGCGGGAAAACCTCTCTGTTGCACGACTGCTCTGCCAAGGTTGATGCAAGACGACCATCCCGCAAGCGGGTGTTCAGCTACTGGCCAATTTCTTATGATCCCCGACCTGTCAACCCTATCACTGAATAAGGGTATCTCGTCACCCTCGGCCACTGTTCAAACATGGTGGATGGCTGACTCGGAGCAAATGCCCCTCGTTGAACACTTTGATCGCTGTCCTCGCTGGCTGCTTCAATCTCAAGCGGACGCTCTCAAATCCGAGTTCAATATCTCCATGTTGATAGGATTCGAGCTGGAAATCATCTTCATGAGGCCGGTCCTGAACGAAATTGGGTCCGACTTTGTAGAATTCCAGCCATTGCACATGGTTCATTCGTGGTCAAACATGACGTATCAACAGATCGATATGCTACCCATCATTGAAGAGATTGTGGATGATCTGGCGGACCTGGACATCCACCTTTCGCAATTTCATTCGGAGGCCGCCCCAGG